AAAGAAAAGCGCTCAGTGTGACAACAGGTTTCAGATGAAGGGATGACAGCTCCACTGATCAACTGCACTGAATGAGCTCCGACTTAGGGTAATGGGTGAGTGCCACTGAAGGGGCTAGTGCAGGGACTTCAGGTTGCAGCTCTATGAGCTGCTCAGGTGAGCAGTTCTGCATTGTGATGGCCAAAGCTGAAACCTTTCTGTTGGTAAAGAGTATGTCCTGCTCAGTCAGTGAGAAATGATCTGCTAGAGACCCTTTCCAGCAATTGGCTGCTGGGGATAAACCTGGCTGCACCAGGACAGGTCTGCATCAGAAGAGAGGCTTTTCTGTCTTCTTCAGGAGAAGCCTGCCTAGAGATTTGCCAGAGACCTCAATCCCATATTCTCTGATCCAGTGTAGACACTCAAGAACATGTTTAAGCATATGAGTGATCCTATGGACATCAATGGGGTTGCTAATGTGCCTAAAGTTAAATATGTATCAGGCACTGTTCTGGAAAGGAACCAAGGACTCAAAAATTTACAGGATCAAGGTTTGGCTGAAGAACAGAGAGTAAAAGAGGAGACAAAAGTTCAGAGATACTGAGTTGCTCTCATGCCCTCTTGTGTTAGTCCTTCACGGAAGCAAGCCCTAAGATAAACCTCTCATTATAGTAAAAGTTAAAGGAATACCTGTGCAGAAAGCTGAAACACTAAAAGATACTGTAAACACTCACTTTACAGCACACAATGTCTTTTGATTTTTAGATGGCAGTACATTTTAAAGCAGATACAGTGATGTCACTGCAGGAAAACATCACAAAAACATTGCAGCAACAGGATCTCTTTCAACAGAGGCCTGGTTGACTCACTCTCACAGCTGCAGCAAAGTAGTCCAATGTGTTTCTGGAGAGCATTCTTGCTTGTGAAGTCTTTATTGGGACACTCTGACTGCAGGGAAATGCAGCCGCTTTTCATTTCTTGTGGCAGTCAGAAAGTTTCATTGAATATTTCTGAGCTCTCAATCTCTTCCAAAACACATGCTGAATTTCCTGGCTCTCCTCCTTAAAATCTGGTCTGGTTTTCTACCCCTGTCACCTCTCAAATTACTTTATGTGCACATAAATTAAAAACAAACAAAAAAAAAAAAAAACAAAATAAAAAGCATTTTGATTTTTCAAAATGAATTTTCAACTGTTTCTCACAACTTCACGAATTTTTATATGCAATCACTTTTATGTTTAAATTATCTTTATTATGAATTTATAACTGGAATCCAGCAAAGTTGAAACAGAAAGATTTGTCCTTTTGCTATTAGTAATGCAACACTGCCAACTAGAGGCATTGGTAACAATCAAATTTTTGTCTTACTGGCCACATCAATAAAGAGATGCATAACCTATAAATACTAAAAGATCATATTTGTGCTAGAGAAATCCCACCCAAGTCCTCCAGCTACAGCAGTACTTGCATTTCATTTTCTTTAGATATTGATGTTTCAGTATACCATTTATTGAATCCAAACACCTCATCACATCATCCAGAAACTCAAATATAATCATGTCAGCTATCAAACTCTTTGGCTTCCTCAAAGATTACTGAGCCATTCTAACAGCTTTTGGAAATATGTCTCCACAACACACTGTGAATGTTAAAAAAAAATTAAAAATTATAACTTTGAGGGCAAAGTAAATTCTAGATATCATTTTCTCAGCCCACAATTTCAGTAAGACTTCATAATTTGTTGGAATAAAGAAACCATAGTCTATTCAGGGGGTCTAAAAGGCAATTTCTGTATAAGCTTTCAGCTCTGTCAGATGATGTACATTTTGAGGAAGGTGTTTGTTCACAGCTGAAGCAGTCATTGAAAAGAGAGAAAGATTGAAAGACTGAAAATAGAGAAAACATGCCCTTGACCAGAAAGGCTCAGCCACAGCCTGCTGCATGTGGTACCCTGACATGTATGTGCTTGTTAGTTCCCTGTATGAGAGAAAACTTGATGTAAAGCCATCGATGTTCATGCACCGTGCAGAGACTGGAGCTGCCTGGGCTCCACACCACTGCCCTTGCCCCTCTTCCCTGCCATGCCCATGATGGTGGGGAACACCAGCCCACAGCTACACAGGATGCAGCAAGAGGAAGCTGGAATAGAGGAGGACAGGCACGGTCTGCAGGTCCTCATGCCAATCAAGGTCGAATGAAGCCCTGGGGAAACAGTCATTCCAGCTGCCCCCATCCCTCTGCTGCCATATGACCAAGTCAAATGCAACCCTGTGTGTAGGCAGAGTCTACTGGAAGGGAGAGAACTGAGAGCCTTGAGCATGCAACAGTCTTATTGCTACTCTCCAGACTTACAGCGTGCAGGACATGCAACCCTCCCCTTTTCTAATTAAGGACTGCAAAAGGTGGCAAGCCTTCACACCCCTTTTCAGCAGCCGGGATCTCCCCAGCCATGGGCATGGAGTGCACTGTACCCCTCCTCTGGGCTGGCAGTGTGTGCCCTGGGGTGCACCAGCAGCTCAGGAGGCCAGGAATGGCTTCCAAGGCTTCCCCTGGCATGACTAGAACCACACTGTAAGAGGAAGATCCACTGGTAGAAGGGCAAACTCTGCCTGCCAGGGCTCACACAACATTAAATAAACAGTCCAGAACAGTTTGTACTTTTGGACTGAAGGGAGGAACCAACATCTAGCACGGGTTTCCTTTTATTTACCAAAACACATTTATTCCGTAAATCTCAGCAAAATTTATGAAAAATAATAAATTACATTTTTCCCCTTGAAGTCTTCAAAGCTTTGTATCTATAAAAAGTTCTGGGAAATCTGAGAAGCCTAGAGGGCAGGAAAATAATCTTGTTGGGAAGTGGAAGCCAATGGACGGTAGTGACTCATAGAGGCACAGAACTGCAGACAGCTGAAGTAAGGCACCAATTAAGCCTGAAACCAAGTTTTCCAGGTGCTGTGCCACAGGGTGGTGTAAGGATGGAGAGGTTAGTTTCCAAAAAAATGCAGAGTAACCTCTGGAGGAGGTTGGAGGTTACAATACTGGAATAAGATGTAGACTTAGAAGTGAAAGCCTGGATGTTGGCCTGGGAAGTAGAGAATAAGGGTTGCAGCCAGCATTAACCACTGTAAAAACTACTTCAATAAATGTTTTTCCACTTATATTATTATGCTTGTGTTCCATAACAGTGTCTTTACAGGAATACAAAGCTACAAAAGTACAGTGGTCCAGTGGAAGCAAACTGCTGGGGCTCAGATAACACTGGAGTAGTTTGTTCACTTGAGCAGTACCTGGAGCTTTCCTTTTAGGAAAGGGAGCTGAGGGGAAGTACATTTGTTGTGAATCAGCTTGTAATACCAGAAGCCCTATTTCCACAATTTAGAGAAATCTAGAT